CGACCTATCTTCTATGCGCAAATGGCTACCGTATTCAAAAATATGCTATTTTAACAAATTTTTTTTTTTTAATTAAACACTTTCTACAGATTTGTACCAAAGCGTTTTTTATGATAGTGATTTTAATCACTGCCAGATATCATCTATACTGGACCCAACTATGTCACGACCCCACTGTAACGCCACCCCACTGTGCTGGATCTTTTTTTTAAATTATCTTAATTATACTACTACTTGTTTTTTCAAGTCAAATTACAAATGCTTATTCGAATGTTAATAATTTTCATAGAAAAGAAATCACGTTTTGTTACTAGTAAATAACGGAATAAGTGTTTACCTATGTATTTTACATAATATGGACTAACATTTGATACCATTAGAAAATTGTAAAATAAAATAAAAATTCAATAAACTTCAAAATGCTGTATAAACGTAGCTACAGAATTAAAATAAGAGTTTTTGGTATCAAAATTTTTCTTTAAAACTTATCTATAAAATGACTACTTTCAAATCTTAAAAAAATTAATTTTCAAAGTATTTTTTGTTTATTTTTATTTGTCTATCAATTTTAATATTTGAAATAGATTGGTTAAAATATTTTTTTAATTTATCATGAATTATTTTAAAAATATTTGTTTTCAAACAGGACTTCCTGAATAAAAAAAAAATTATTTACTTAAGGATTAATAGACATTCTCTCACATTTCTTTAAATATGCTTTACTGTTTTTCATATTGAATATAACATAATTTTTATTGTGTCTGATTTAGTATAAAAATAGTAATAATGAAAAATGAATTGATTTCTCAAATATAATAGTTAGATCTTTAATTAATAATTTACTTACTATTAGGATGCCATATTTCAGTCACAAATTTCATTTTAGGTGGCCTTAATGGATATTCTTTTGGAAAATTTAAATGAGCTTTAAAAAATCCTCCTTCACTGTAAAACAAAATAAAAAATTTATGTTTCCCACATAATCTGCTAAGTCAAGTAAAAATGATTAAATTTAGCTGAGTAAGTTTTTGATAGATATTCTGCTATAATAAATTATTAAAGTATTGGAATTTAATTAGCACAAAGGATTGTATACAAATTATAAGGATTTTAATACATTAAAGATTTCCTATTTATTCAAAATATGTTTAGAAAAACAATTGTTGATTCATGACCATGAATATTAAGTTCAATGAACTCTAGTAAAAATATAAAGATATTTTTTATACAGATATAATTATTAACAATGTGAATTAAAAAATACAAGGAAACATTTATATCATGGAAAGAAGATTTTAAATATTGATATTATACACAAAAAAAAAATACATTTAAATATCTTAAAAAATAACTATAAAAATAATACTACCTCAATTAGCTTAATGAATTTTATTTAATATTTAATTACAAAAAAATTTTAAGGGTTATATGTGTTTGGTAAATATAATTATATATAATATAACAATTTATAAGAAAATATTATTTGTATATAATATAAAAAAATAATTTTAAAGACCTATTGGATTCAGTTTTTTTAATCATAGATAATTATTAATATAAACAATCAAGATGCAAAATGAAAAATATTTTTAAGTGATAAACTGATTTTATTAGTAAGAAATTAGCCAACATTTTTGTTATCATTAATAATCATTTGTATGCTGTAAAATCATACAGTAACTTTTAGAGACTTACTAACGAGATGATTTACAAATAAAAATTAACAAGGTATTTAAAATTAAGACTTACTACAAAGTATCTGGAGGTCCAATGATAAGAACTTCCCATTTATATATATCATTGTCATCTATAAGACCAGCTGAAAACCCTTCAACTGGGTTCTTGTGTAGTTCTAAACAAAGAAGTTAGTTTTAACACAGCTTTCATGTTATATAACTATTTATTGAAACATAAAAATATTTTAAAAATTGAGGTGTCCATATAAAAGTATTTATACAACAAAACACGTGTACGATATTAGATATAAGGTATACTTTAAAAATATAAAATTATCAGAGATACTGAAGCAAATGGTTAGCACATGACAGTCCAAAAAACTATGTTTCTAATGCAAGAAGTATAACATGTGCAATATCATGATAGACATTGTTTAAATATAGGTAAATAAGTAATTAAAATGGGTATATTAAATATTTAAAAAAGTACTTACCAGTCAGTTGTTTTTTTAATAATAGCGCAGACTGTAGTTCTGACATTAAAACTGATTTTGTGCACAATATTAGTGATAAATTGTAATATAAAACAACAGAAATTTACAATCGATTATTTCTTAAGATTTCTAGGCTATACAAATTTATTGTGTTACATAAAAACAAGAACTATTAAAAATATTAAGTGATAGAACTATATTTTGTTGAAAAATCTAACAGACAGCACACGGCTTACGACAGTGCGGCTTATTGGAAATAAATTATCGAAACGGGTCATTGTGAGCAAGCGCCAGTGTCATGGATACCAGTGTGACCATATGGTACGTACGTAACAGGTAACAACGTTTTCTTAGTCTACAACTACTTGCTTTAATACGAATAAAAAAAGCCGGTTTTAAAAGAACGGATTGTAAAAATATATTGCGTTACGTTTATTATACTTCACAGTTAAAGGCCTATAGTTTTTTTTAAATCTATCCCTTTATTATTATAATTTCTTTAAATTCACTTCAATTCAAATATTATTCAATACTGTGTTTTAATGAAAAAATATCTTATGAATCATCATCACTTATTAAATTATTGTATTAACAAGGACATTGGCCTCCTACATCTAATGTGAGTTGTACTACACCATTTACCATCTAATATTAAAAAAAATATTAGATGGTGAATATTTAGTATACATTAGGAAGAAATACATGTTAATTGATAAATTTTAATAGTATGTTAGAGTTAGAGAATATTAGTTAACTAAAAATAATAGTGCGACCTAGATTTTATTTTTTGCAAACTCAATATAGAATTTTTCTAATAAAAATAATAACATAATTCATTATGAATAACTTGTATTCTTCAAAATAATGGTTTTTGAAATCTTAGTTATTGATGTTTTTTTTTTATAAGAATTATACCCCATTAGGACCTACTAATAAAATATACATTTATATAAAAATTTATTAATTGTAATTTTTTATTCAGTGGCGCCAATTCACTTAATTCAGTAATTATTATGGGTCAAAAGAATTTAATAAACTTTTTTTAAACTATGTTAAACAAATTTTTATCGACATTATTTCTACTTAACTTGAGTTAATTATTTCCATTAAATTCGCTATTTTTGAATATTTTAATTATTTATTATTGTTAAATATTCTTTTTTTTAGTGGTGTTTTGTAGATACATGGCGTATATCCGCTATTTTTTTTTTAATTAACATATACTATAGAAAAGTAATACTTATTGGATATATTCATCGATACTATTGATGATTATATGTTAATAAATCAGCGCATAACTTCAAATAAAAGGTTTTTTTGTGAAAATGCCACTGCTTAATCCCTATTAATAAGATTTAACCATCGTGTCGCTGTATAACACCGAATTAATTATTGCCTTTTTGTATAAATATTATTTTTAATCTAAAAAATGATGTGTTAAGCATATGTGAAATTTTAAGGAGATTGTTAGAGAGCTAGCTTTCAAAATGTAAATGATGATTAATACCATAATATGAAAATATTTTTCGGACGAGGAAAAATATATTTAGTCCTTAATAATTTTATTTTAGTTGTCACTACATATTAAAGCGTACAAATATAGTCGTTTTTTTTTAACTTATAATTTGAATGATATAAAATAAAAATATATAGCTGTTTATCGAAAACATAAAAATTATATAAATTCAAACTACTTATATAAAATATAAGTTTCTGTCTTTTTGTTCATCACCTTTTTGGTAGCAGTATTATCGATAGGAGATGATACTTATCTCAAGCTACTTCTCCAGATCTTATATAATGTGCAGTATAATCCACCCCTGTTTTTTTACTGGAAAATTCAGCACCGAGTGTATGACTAAAGGTTCTATTATTTTGCACCATCGAATATTGATATAATAATATTTCCCCTTATATTTATGCATATGAAAACGAAGGAATACGTCCTCCAGAAATAAAACATTTTATTACATAGTGAAGACAAAATATTTTTCATTTGGCGGCGGTCGTGAAAACTCTTTTTAAGAAAATCTACCATTGAACAAAACACAATTACGCTAACAAAAGTTTGATTTCCTATTTTTACTGTGGAAGTGTAAATTCGCCTAAATTTGAATTTTTTATGTTAATGTATAATTATTCATAAATAAAAAATTGAAATACTTAAATAAACAGGAAGACCTAAAAAGAGATGGAGAGATGCTATTGAATGTGATACGAGGACAGCTGATGTAAGCGTAGATGATGTGTGAGATTATGTCAAGTAGAAGTTTAGGATAAGGATGGCCGACCCTAAGTAATTGGGAATAAGGCAAAGAATATTTAAATAAATGTCAACATAAAAACGTTCAATTAAAAAAAAAATAAATAAAAATTGAGAGAGAACCAGCTCCTTTTTAGACACTGAACATTAATGTTCGAAATAATAGTTATCTATCATTTCACAGAAAAATAGTATGCCTATTTTATTGATAAGATAAATATTTTTGGCTCCTGGAAAATCTCTAAAATTAACATATTAGATTTTGAAAAATAGTTACAGATATATAAAAAGTCAAAGAATGTTACAATTTATTACCTAAATAGGCTCAATAGTATTTTTACAACTCTGTATTAGAAAAACGATTATTTTTCAACATTTATAAAAAGTAATTTACAGTTTTTTTTTTAGTTTTTTGGAATATTTTACCCATGTGTTCGAGTAAGCTGTATTTATATGTTTGAATATTGCATATAATTAAGATTTAAGTTTTAATTCTAGACATTCGACTAAACTCTTTCTTTTCTCTCTTATGTGATACTTTTTTCTAACATAAATAAGTATGTTAGTAAAAATCTATGATTACTCAAGATAAAAAAATGAAAATGTTAAAAGTATCATACATTTTTTTGGCTCATTACATATAAATTTATAAAATGCATACAAATTTTATGTTGATAATCAAAAATAATATTAATTTCATATATACTATATTGGTATTGATTATTTATTTAAACCAAAGAATTTCCAACTTTTAAATACACAGTATGTACAGTAATGACACTTATAAAAAACAACAGTCATAAATTATAATATGTTGCATAATAACATATATTATACATAATACTTTGCATAATACTTCAATTATTTTGAAATGAATAAGGTAGTGGAATAGTTTAGCATAACATTTTGAGTATGAAAAAAATGAGAATCAGCAAAATAGAATGACTAGTGAAAAAAGGATAAGAGAAGGGGCATTCAAAATGTATGCCAAATTGATCATTTTCATCACAATACATGTTAAATAATAAACATTTGTCTAAATATTATGTGCTACGACGCTTCCAGTCATGTAATTTTCCATATGATCGATGACTTTGATAGTGAATTGATGAAGGTTGATAAGCAGCTTGATTAAGAGCAGCTGCTAACATACCATTTGTCAATATGTTACCCATGTACTGTTGTTGATTGTTTGCTTGTTTATCCTGTAAAATTAAATGTTAATGTTAACATAATCATAGAATTAAATCCAGGGGGAACTTAGTAAGCTTAGACTATCCAAAAATGTTGCCATTACAATTCCAAAATTAATAGTGTTATATGTATTTTACAAAAAAAAGAAATTAAAGCGAAGGTAAAAATTAATTTAACACCCAAAATGTTTTCATAAATTTACACCTATGAACATATTACTTCCATATTATATATAAACCTAAGTAACTAAACATACTCTATTTTGGTCAGATTTTGGGTTAGCTTCAGATATATGAAGAGACACTCCTTTAACAATGTGATCTTCATCACAGAGACTTTGAGCAACAGAAGCATCATTAAATGTCACAAAACCAAAAGCTCTAAATGGTTTTGGTATAAATACATCTGTAATTTCTCCATATTGAGAAAAGTATTTGCTTAAATCAGGTTCACTAATATCTTCAGTGAGACGACCAACAAATATCTTGTGAGGAACCTTAGAATAGAAGCCTTCCTAATAACCAACAAATCCAAATAATTATATTCAACATTTCGACAAAATCTTTAAAGAGGCAAATTGTATGTTATGATTAATTAGAAAATTAACATTTATAAAAAAATGTGAATGTATAAATAAATTTATAAAATATTTGTTTAATTAAACTAAAGTCAAATTATTAGTAAAAAATTAGTTCCTTACCTTGTAATTTTATTTATTAATAATTTCAGTAACTCTTTAGAAACGGATTTTTTTGATTATAGATAGATCATGAGTTAAATTATATTTTAAATGTTTAAATAAATACATTTGTAATGAACTAAAATTTACTACTTATTGACTTATGGAATATTTAATTATTTAATTTACTTTAGATGCTGGTATTTTTACTTCAACCCATCTGTTATTGACATAATGACGTTGACCAAGTGCTTTAGCTTGTGAGCTGTAGTCTTCATATCGAATAAAACCAAATCCTTTAGAATTTCCTGATGTATCACGTTTTATCTACAAATAATTAAATAAAATATATACATTAAATTTCAAGAAATTTATAATAATTTACCTGGACCATTACAAGTTTTCCAAACTGTCCAAAATACTCTCTCATTTGAGTTTCTGAGAGTTGATAAGGTAAACCCAAAACTATTAAATCAGTACAATTAATATTATGGAAGCCTTTAGAAGGCTTAGTATCAGTCTCTTCAAGTTTTCTTTTATCTCCTAAAAAGTAAAAATAGTGTATTTATCATATTTTAAATTTAAGTCATATATATTTAATTTATTAGAAAAAGTATAAATCCAAAACATAATTTCTTTTAATGAAGAACATATATTTACCTACCTTTTGGATGAACACAGTAAAACTTATGTCCAGTCCAGCTACCCTCAGGAGCATGAAATTTTCCATCAAACAGTCTCAATGCTCTATAAGGAGAATACGAATCTAACCGAAATTTAAGACCAGTGACTCCAGGAAAGTAAGCACTTAGAGTGGCTGTAGACAATGTGCCATCACTCTCTAGTGGAATCTCCATAAAATCTTCTCCTTCACATTCACAGACTGGTATGTATTTTTCTACATTTTCCATTGTACTTATATTGAAGAAATAAATCTCAATTAAGGATTTTAAAAATAGTTAATTAATATACTACTGTAGTAACATTTTAATTATTAACATGACACCATAATAAACAATTCAAATTTTGTTCATTTATATTTATGTAAGTAATACTCGATATATAAATAATATCAGTTTTATCAAATGTTCTTTTAAAATGGGATTAAGAATTGATAATATTTAAGGTTTTCAGCACTGTATCAGTTTTAACCTTAAAAAAACAAGTTAAATTCTAATATCGGTATTATATTGTAGGTAAAATAACAAGTCACTTTAATATAAAATATATATTCTTTTAAAGTTGTCTTTTTAATTAAATTTCATAACAATAAACTTGATCTTATTTACTAGCTTATAATTTTATTGTTTATAATGGTAAGTAGCTGACTAGTAATATATATGTTTCATATAATTTTAAGAGATTCATAGCTTTTTGTATGTGGAAAATTATTAATTATTTTTAATTTATTAAAATTATAATAGTATTCATTTAGGATAATTTTATTTGCGATTATAAGAAATTTTTATCTATTTTTATGTTTATTTTCGAATTAAATATTATTTAATTAATATTAAATATTAAATTAATACTTATAAATATTAGTAGTTATTGTTTTAATGTATAAATGATAATTTTTGAAATGTTTATCTAATTTTACATTTTTAAACATAAACACAGTTTTACTCACTGATAGTATAAATATAACTTATTATGTACAATGCACAAATGCAATATGTTTCTACTGAATAAAATTATCTAGAAAAGTAAATTTTTAAATATAGTCGAAGTATTTGGTAAATTATACCAGTGCAGTACTATTACTAGGAGTAGCGGGGTTAAAAGGGTGGCATTAAAATAGAGTTTAAGACCTTTTGGGAAAAATAAAAAGGTCATTGGTGGAGATACAATATGTAAATACGAGCACTGAACCAGTGCCTTCAATTTTCTTCAATTGATAATTTACCCTTATATATTTTTTATAACTTACAATTAATGACTTTAAACTGAAAAGTAGCTTGTGTTAGAGAAGATGGAATTAATTATAGAGTAATAGTAAAAAATTTCGATAATTTTTCATTGAGATATATGTTATTAATTGAGCAATAAATAAAGGTTTCTTAAATAATTTTTAATGTTTAATTTTAAACAAATATGTGTTAATCAAAATTTTAGGTTACTATTATGCTAAATAATTAAAAAAAAAAACAATTTTTATTTATAGTTTCGCAATCAATATGATAGTGATGTTACCGTTTGGAGTCCTCAGGGTAGATTACATCAAGTAGAATATGCTATGGAAGCTGTGAAATTAGGATCAGCCGTAGTTGCTTTAAAAAATAAAACACATGCTGCTATTATTGCTTTGAAAAGAGCACCAAATGAACTATCTGCTTACCAGAAAAAAATAATACCTGTTGATGATCACCTAGGCTTTTCTTTTTCTGGTCTATTGGCTGATGCTCGAATTCTAAGGTTAGTTTAAAAAGAAAAATTTTAGTTTAAAATATTTTGATAATAACTATAAAGAATTAATTATTGTTTAAAGTCAACTAAAAAAAATTGTGGTTAAAAAATTTTGTTTATGGGGCTATAAACTATTTCATAAGTCTAGATAATAGAAAATTTTTAACATGTTTTTGTTTGGTTTGGGTTTGTAAAATTAAAAAAATGTTTGCTTAGTGTTTTATTTAATCTCAATAATCAAGGATGGTAACATTTCTATAAACACAGAACACCACTATAGCCTTGAGAATGAACTCAGTTATTAGAGCAAAACATCTGTTTAAAACTAAAGATATAAATACATTTGAAAACATTAATAATAATATATCATATCATAAAAGGGTTAATACATTCATAACTATATGTTTATAAATATTATTATTATTAAATTATGTTATATTGTTTAAGCAAATTCATGAGATCTGAATGTGCTTCACACAAGTTTGCTCATGGTGACAATTTACCAGTGTCTAGATTGATGACAAAAGTTGGAAACAGAATGCAATTATGTACTCAAAGATACGATAAACGACCTTATGGTGTTGGTCTATTAGTTGCAGGCTATGATGTAAGTTTTTAATTTTAGTTTTAGTTATTATCGAGGTGGACATAATGCCCATGTATTCAGACCTGTTGGTCCATTGTGCGCACCTCATACCGAATTGTCTTCATTCGGTTTACCCACCTAAGTGTTATCACCAAAGTGTTAATACATTACCAAACATAAAGTCACCTCTAAAGATGACCAAGGAGTCTTGTCTTTCTGGCCAAATGTTGTAAGTTAATATTTTATATAAATATAGGTTGTCCCACCAGGTTTTGACATCTCTAATAAATTTTGCATTACTTTTTTAGCTTCGATTCGAAGCTGAGAAGGTATTAATTTTACTTTGATATGTTTTTTTATGTCTGTTACCACTTTTTCTCAGCTCTCACTGGACAAATTTCTTTCAAAAATACGTCAAAAGATCACAAATCGTATCTAGTTGGAGACATTACTTTTTAAATTTGAAAAAAATTCCCTCGTTACCCGAAAATGGGGGAAATCTCCAAAAAAATTACAAATTTAAAAATCTGTAAATTTTGTCATTTTTTTCACTTTTTTTTCTTAAAACTTCCATAACTTTTTCAAAAATCAACAAATCAACATAATTTTTTTTTATACTAAAACCTTAGATATTTACCTTTCATTTAATATCATTTTTTTGAAAATCTATCACTTAACCTGCTCATTGGGGGGATTTAAAATAGAAACTTTTTTATAAAAATTAACTTTTTCAACTTAATTTTTGAAAATGTTCCGGAAATACTGCGTCCTTTAAACATATATCAAATTAAAGCTTATTTTATGTACTACAAAATGAAAAAAAAAAATTTGTCCCGACAACCTATCTTTTATGCGCAAATGGCTACCGTATTCAAAAATACGCTATTTTAACAAATTTTTTTTTTTAAATTAAACACTTTCTACAGATTTGCATTGAAGCGCTTTTTATGATAGTGATCTTAATCACTGCCAGATATCATCTATACTAGACCCAACTATGCCACGACCCCACTGTGCTGGATCTTTTTTTTTTAAATAATTTTTCTAGTTTTGAATTACATTTAAAACATATTTTTTTATTATTTTTTTGAAACTTAAAAATAGCCATTTTTTAGCTTTTCTTACAAAAATGTTGTAGAGTTGATAACAAATTTTAGGATAAGTACTTATTGAGTTACAAATATTTTAATACTATGTATGTTTTAATGTTAGTGCACTGTTAAATAATTTCTATTTTTTTTTTTCATTTTTATTATTCATTTTGACTGTTTTTTTCTATTTTGTAATTAATTTTTTAAAAGATGATTTTTTTTTTGTAATTTATGATTTTTATTTTTATTTTAACAGGATAATGGTCCTCATATTTTTCAAACTTGTCCATCTGCAAACTACACTGATTGTAAAGCTATGGCTATTGGATCACGATCACAGAGTGCTCGTACATATTTAGAAAGGAATTTAGATGCATTTAAAGAATGCTCTCTGGAAGAATTACTAAAACATGGAATGAGAGCTTTGAGAGATACATTACCTAATGATATTAATTTAAATTCAAAGGTAATTAAGTTTTTAATCCTTATTTTTCTTGTAAACAACTAATTTATCAATGTTTATGTTTCAAATAGAATGTTTCTATTGCTGTCGTTGGTAAAGGTCAACAATTTGAAATTTATGATGAAGAAAAAACACAAACTAAGTTATCTCTAATTGAAGGGGAAGAAAGAAGAGCACCTGCTCCTTCAGCTGAATCAACTGGAAGTGGACCTCAGCCACCTCAAGATGGACCTGAAGGACCTCAGGATCCGATACCTGCTGTTGCTATGGAAACTGAGTGAAGAAATATTTTATAAAATATCATATGGCTTTTAAAATAACTTATTGAAAATATTATTTTTCACAAAAAAATTTGTTTGGATAAAGAAATTATAAACAATATACACAAATACATTGTAAACTTCACTTTATTATTTTCTTGTAATATTAATTATATTCTTTCGATCATTCACAGTATTTGTTCATACTATCAAAGTTTTTGTACTGTTTTTCTAAATTAAGAAATTATTTTTTAATTATTATAAAATGAATACTTAATTACATAAAACATAATGTTTGGTGTGGATATATATTTTATATTGACTATGTATGATAGAAAATATATTTTTTATTTTATTAATAAAAATTGGTAATAACAAATTAAAAACGGACTTAGGAACATGATAAGTCATAGTTAAATAATTCATAGTATTTTTATCAAGTTTAAAAGCATACATTGTTTTATTTTGTTAATATCAATAATTGAAAACCAAAAATATTTTTAATATACCCCATAATTACTATTAAAAAAATGTATTTATGTTGATGAGTTAAGTTGAAGAAAGTATAGATCAATTTATATTGTTAATGTACATATTATATCCTACAGTCATCTAAAAAAAAGATTTTTTATCATATTATTTAGCTTTTGAGATTGACATTTTATACTTTCAAGGCTACCTCAGAAATTTCTATTATTAAGAATTCAATTTCTTGTTTAAAAATATGTATTAAAACTTGAACAACTCAATGTCATGTCAATTGTTTTAAATTATTAATATATTTTCAACAGTAACTATTAATCAACAATAAAAAGTGACTATAATTTAATTATATACAGATTTATTATTCATATGTATTCAGATTAAACCAGAGTATCAAGTGTACGGTATGAATGATTTTCAATTTTACTTTGTTGTCTGTTATTATTTTCAATGAAACTCATTAAGTATTCATTTTCACTGTCTACAATAGCTGCTTCATACTGTAACTGTTCAATATAACCTAGTCTATTTCGTAAATTAATATCACTGTTATTTAATAGCTCAGAATTTTCATAGAACATTTGTTCAGCTTCTTTTATCTGAGTATCAACTCGTTGTAGTTCATTTAATAATTGTTCTTTATCCCGACATCTTTCAATATTTACAAATAATCTTATTAATCTTTCTTCGTGTTCACACAGCTTTTTATTAATCTTGACGATTTGCTCTAAATAAGTGATAGCTTCCAAAAAATCTGCTTCATCATTTTCAATACTGGCAGCCCCTTCTGCTATGCCACTATCCTTTTCTTCTTTATCATCGCCCATGTATGCTTCTAATAAATAATTTGTTCCCAGTACATTTGACCTAGTTTTATGTGTGTCGGTTTCAATTTTTTCAATTTTTTTGTCTCGATCTTGTAATTTTTTCAATTGAGTTCTAATTGTGTCGCTTTGTTCTAAAATAATTTTCAATAGTTCTTCTGCTGCTTGGGTATTACTTAATCGTTTAGGATGGACTGTTCTTGAAGCATATTTAACAACTTCCCTTCGTTTTTTTCTCTGTGCATAGCTAAGCTCAGATGTGTCATCCGATGCAAATCTGCTGCCGCCGACTTTTTGGAGACATAATTTTTGATTGAGTCCTAAACTTTGCCAAATTTTTAATATTTTTGCTCCAGGTTCAGCAATTATCATTTCTCCTGGATGAATACTACCTTCTTCCACTGTTACTACATATTTGCTATCATGTCCGGTTAAATTGGTAATTATGTCAGCACATGTTGTTCGTCGATCGGCATAATTTATCCATAGTTTTTTGTCATACAGCCATATAGGTATTCTCTCGCTTGTCATCTCCTAAAAATAAATATCAATTATTATTAATACGTGTACTCATTCATTTTAAATATAGAAGATATAATATATATTCTTCTATAGAAGAGGATAAGGCTCTTCAATTTTTTTACAGAGTATATATAAATAAAAAAATAGATGACATGAATGTCATTATATGTAATTATAGCTGTATAAATTTTAACGTAAATAGTATAATAATTCTGAAATAACGGTTTTGTATTACTGAGTATGTATTATACAAAAATTTGGTAAGTAATCGTTACTGTTAATTATATTACTTGAGTACTATACTCGCTTAGGTTTAATTAAATTTACACTAAAAGTTACAACGTTTTAATTATTATGGATTATAATATATTACAAAAGTGCCCACTAATTACGAAGTCTTGTATAAGTGGTTCTAGTTATTCACACCCGTGTAACGATCATCGCTTATTTATTGTTTAATAACCGAGTAACCAAACTCATTAGTTGCACGTTTAAGAATATAAAATTGTACTATATTTAACTCCCTTCTCTAAATTTTATTTTCATATAATTATATAAGTCGGGGTAAATGTGAACGAATGGTGTAATAATAAATTCATTGTGTTTCTTAAAATATTTGGTAGATATTATTTTAGCTTGAAAAGTTCTGGTATTTATATGTGTTGCTATCATATGAAATGTATGTTTGAAATAAAAAATTGCGCAATTATCTAAAAAGAATTCATTTACAATTACTCCACTTCACCATATGTAGTTTTTCTGAAATTTCGGATAGGCTAATTTTTAAGTTGAAGGAGCCTAAACCCCTAATTTGTGCCTATGGATATAGTTTCTTTTAAAAAATCATGTTTGGCATAATAAAATTTATCAATTAAACATATAGAGTAATTAACTCATTTTAGTAAGATAATTTTGGTTAGGATTGATTAAATTATTATACTTGTAATTATTTTTTTATGATATGATATGCAAATTCTACATATCAGCATTCAAACAGAATTATATAATTTTATCGAGTCTAAAGTGTTATTTGCTTGGCTGTCCATAGGGTCGGTTTAAGGAGGGGCTACAGGTGAGTGCCCATAGTCTTAAGGAGTTCGTTTTGAGTTTTACTGCTAAATTATATTTTAAACAAAAACGACTATTATTTTTTTGTTCGTCACTTTTTAAGAGCATGATATTTTTTTAAAACTGAGACGATCCTAGAGTACCAGTTCGGGGCTCATATAGTTCTTAATCTGACTCTGGCCAACCCAACCTAATCTATAGTTATTTCTTAAGGGGGGGGGGAAGGAAAGTAGTAAAATTCTCTTATTTTTGTCTATTACAACATTTTGGATAACATTGAAATTAATTTTATTGTGGCCAATATCGGTTCATGACCCTAATGGCTCCTTTAAATACACCACTATATGAAATAACTATTTTTCATAATTTTTTGTTTTGTATTTACGTAACAATTAAATAAAAATCGTAATTTTTTATAAAACTAAAATATTATGAATTCTAAAACTAATGATTTATAATTTTTAATTATGTTAATGCAGTGACGAATTTGAGTGAAGCGATAGGGCTAATCCCCCCTAGATATTTATTTTAATGTTTACAACTTTTTTGAGAATTCTAGATTTTTTAGGATCTACCTTATTATTATTAACATCATTATTCCCAGTATATTTCGCCATTGAGTTAATTAGCCTCGCTTAAATTACAAAACGTAATGAACACTAAGAGATTTTAATGTGATAGACACCTCGTGTTCAGTCCATAGAACTCTACTAATTGTCCTTATCTTTCTATTACTAGAACACTGATGACATAATTAAAAACAATAATAATGGTTGGTAATTATTCGTAACTACGTGGTAATTGTGTATTTAAATTTTTCAGCATGTGACCTTAACGGTTAGTTCTCACGACTGCTGTGACGAATGTAAATTTTTTACTTGAGTGTTCTTATAGAAACACCGTTAATATTATAATATTACATATTATACTGCTGTCCAAAGTGTTCATGTTCATCGATGAGATCTTATCAAAGCCGTATTAAAGTTTTGTTAAAAGTAATACATTGGGAAAATGTTTACTATCATTTCTAGATAAAATTAAAATGTAACTTCAACACAATTGTTTCATTCGTCAAAATAAATCTAATATCCTAATCTTCAATTAATAACATCAACAGGTTTTATTTTTATTGTTGAGTAAAAACTATTATTATTAAAATTATTTAATATTGGTCTTATATTAAAATCTATTTTACTTTGAAAAAGTAAATTTCCATGGTTCATTAAATCGAACAATATCCATACATAATATTATTTTGTTGTCATGACTCTTCCTTCATCATTATAAGTAGTGGTAGACACACAATTCATATCTTTGTCCCAAACATTCGAATGGGAAACGGAAAGAATAAAAGATTTATTGTATAATCCTTTAGTGATGGGGGTTTGTTATTTTATTTTTGTAATTTATCACTCTTGCCCTTTTTCGATTCGACGGCGCCGTGCCCATCAGCTAACACATTTGTATACAAAATTATAATATTATACCTGTTCTCACCGTTTCTATTATTTCTCATACCTAACGTCGATCTGAATATTGATCATACTTTAGAAACAGTACTTAAGTATAATATAAAATTAATACGGCTTTGTTATGTTTTTGATCTATAATTTCATCATCAAATTAAAACAATATTTAAATACTAATATACAGAGTGTTCAGTAAGTTAGGAAACAGTTAAATTGTTACAAACAATGAGTACAATAGAAATTCGTTTCCTTATTTACTGAACACTCTGTATATAATAATTAATTGGTTATGATCACTATTTATATTAGTAATATAGTAATCTTTCAAAATGTTTGTCTTACTAATTTAAATCATATTTTAAATATTGGTTTAAATATTTCATGTTATTTTTAATTATAAGTTTTACAGTTTCAATTTATTTTATTCTAATAGCATTATTAATTTTATATTAACGAATAAAATTTTATTGTTTTATACTATGTATGATATGCAACAATGTATGTATAGTTATTAAAATGTACTAAATTTAAATATAAATTCAAAGTTAATTTTGTTATTATAGTTAACTGTACTTTAATAAGATTTAGGCAAAAATAATTTATTAATATAGATTTTATAATTGGTTGTTTGATAAAATCTCTTATTTGAATCCATTTACAATGTAGTTATTTTATTAACGAATCAAAATAATTTTTTTGTTATAATATTTGTAACATAAGTAATCTAGAGTAGGTGTTGGATTGGTATCATTTGTAATATAATAAAAATAATAACGAGAGTAAAATGCGTAGACATCGTTTAAAAAATTCAATCTCGTTATTTCGAAAGTAGTTTCTAAAAGACTAACTAAAGGAACTCGTAAAATTATTATAAGCTAAGAATTAAAATTATAAGACAAATTAAATGTATTATTACATAGTATAACCTGGTGTAGGTGCGCACTTTTTTCTATTATTTATAATTTGTAATATAAACAATTCTTATTTTTTTAATCAAGATCAATTATTAAAAAATATACATTAATTATTAATAGAGAGATTAAATATCTATTTAACGAGTAATGATCTGAAATAAAATGAAAAATAAAGCGTACTCCTACTTCATTAATGAGGTAAGAATCCAGTAAGTTTTAACAAGGAAATAAATAAATAAATAACCTCTACTACTTTTATTTCATTGTAACAAATTAATTCGTGGCAACGCGTTGTAATAATTCATTAACTAAGAAGTATTTTAAATGTTCATATTTGAATGCTTTAATCACGACATGTACCAATATATTTTCAATTAGAAATTATTGTGAAAAATGGATCTATAAATGTCTTTTATCTAAGTCCGGACGTGTTCTCATAATAGAAACCAGTTTTGTAAATGTTTTATGGAAATACTATAAAAGAGCTTATTTGGCGTATAAAATAAGTTTAGCTAGAATAAAATATTAGGGAGGTGTTTTCGCCATAATATTTTTGTCCAATGTAATGGAGATTTTACACTTGCAGGGGAGGCGGCCAAACTACACTAGCATTTAGAAAGTAGAGATCTTAATTAGCAAGTGTTAGTTTACTACATACTATTCATAGAATTTTATAAATAAATACTTTTCTTCTAGTTAAGTACGAATTTTAAATTAGGCATATCTATTTTAGTGCCATGTTATATTATACGATAATTTAATTTTATAACCCTAATATTTTTAATTGATACATTAATAAAAAATAAATTATCTAAATAATTTATATTTGTGTCCGTTACAAGTATTTAATGGACAACACGATCAAATAATATTTTAATTAAATTCAAATCTAATTGGCCAATATGTGTAGTAGAGGGCTTGATATGTATAATTTACCAATTAAAATTATTATTAAATGTTTAACGATCTTTTTAATAATCTCTCCGATAAGTTTCAATAAAGAAATAGTGATTACAAAAATTTTTTCTATGAACTTTATAATTTTCATCATTTTGCCATATAAACGGTAATCTAATGGATATAAGAAACACATCTACGTGTATTTTATTGATTACATAGTTATTTTAATAGTACTTCCTATGAAAACGTTTGTTCAGGTCTATAACAGTTTTAGTATATGATTACAAATGAAACAACGTCGTACCTGCCTACTCATCTAGCGCCTATACAATAAACGTGTTCAATGTTTTATGACGCATTGGCCATTGTCAACACGTAATACAAAATTCCTTTTATAAGTGAACAAGTTAATCACAGTCGAAGCATTGACGGATCATCGTGTTTGGATACAACATAATTTAAGTAGGACATTTACATGCATACGCTCGACTTTCAGATGAATCATTGGGGAACAATGTTTTAATTTAATATTGAAGAATTTGCCAATAATAGGTATGCCATTTGCAATAGTGTTAAGGTATTTAGCTTTCACCAATTTACATGAAACTCTCCGACATCGCACAATGAAGAGCAACTCAAAATTTCCTAGAATTGTTATGGTAAATATTCTGAAAACAATTGAACGAAGCGTCGCCAAAAACGATTCGTCGACAACATTCTACTTTTTAGCGTACTCTTTCCACGACGGCGATTCTGTGTATTTCTTGGAAAATAAATTTATTACTCACGACGGATCACCACGTAATAATATGTTTTTACTGCTTTTTACATAATTGTCATCGCGACTCATAAAAACATTAATATGATAAGAGTATAAGATTGTAAAACAGACTACAAGAACATGCGACTTTTACGGCTCACTAAATTTTATAATTGCTGAAGTGTTATTAATTACATTGCTTATAGTTGGTCAAAACGGAATTGAAATTTACATTTACAACTCAATAAGTTATATCACATTAGTCTGCTTTTTAGAAATAATCTTGTGATCCGCACTGGAAATATTCCCGTGAACTTCCATCATCAATTTTATTACACCAGACAACGTTACCAAAAAAAAATTAATGCAACGTTAGTTACATATCATAGTTTATTACTTACATGCATTGCTCTTTCGATCTAAAAAGGTGCAATTAAGACTATTTTAATTACATTTAGTAAATCTTATTGTAGAAGATAAAACTTTTGTCTTACAGTATCGCGTGCTTTACTAAAATGTCATACTAATTGAAGAAAATCTATGAATTTATATGATACGTTTTCATCTAATATATTTGATAAAATATCTGATATTTGACATACTTACTTTTTCATTATAATTAATTAATGAAAATACATCTGGTGAGATTTAGCAATACATTTTTGATCAACTCCATTATTTCATCAATGATAAAGTTATGATATATTTTGAAGGAACTGTTCTTCCATAGAAATGTTTGGGCTTGTCTTATTTAATTATTATTTTGGCAATTTACTTTGTTTTTGAAAATTTAATTCATTATTCAAAGGTATTTTAGGACGATTAAAAAAAATGTAATCATAACATTTGTTTAATATGTCGTCACATTTCTTGTGAAGTTATCTTGTGGTCATATTCGTCTTTCATTTTGTCACACAGTAATTTTTCTGTTTATTCACTATTTTTATCACGTAGACGTTATTCGTATATTATGTACAATCTCATTATATTATTATTATGATCTGCACATCATCGTCACGGTTCGTCGCCGCATTTTGAATTCGTGTGGCAATTCCATCATGTGTTCCGCTACAGAAATAAGTGAATGAACGGAAGGAGTTGTGTAAAATATCCACTGCCTTCCGAGTATTAAAATAAATGTAGAGGCACTGTAGGTTTTTGAAAAAGGAATTGATTTTAGTCATTATTACTTAAATTAAAAAAAGCTATTTTTGATTTTAGAAAAAGCTTTGACCGACTTCTATTGTTATTTTTGGAAGTTTTTTTAGACCAAACCGACACAAGGGGAGTTCACTCGACTGGAAAGATATCTTGTGTTTTGTTCTTTGACGGTATTCATATGTCGAAACGAATGTGTTGTATAATGGTGTAAATTCGACTACCGTAGAACTCTATGGAGTTCTTGTGATGCACTTCGAGGGAGCGGAAACAATGACAGCTAATTATTATCGTTTTTGAAACGGTTTGTGTAGAGCAAGCTGTCTTAGGTACGTTTCTACAGGTGTACCGCTGTTGTGAAATACATAAGTTAGATATGAAATACACCTGCTTTTGCATGGGATATTAACCGTTGAATGAATTATTTTCTTTAGAGTAGCCATGGCGCAATTATTCACGTTAAATAGATACTTGTTTTATGGTAAATTCACAAATACGCACTTAACTGACAATTGAACTATATAAGTTTGATATAATTTGTTAATACGCTGTGTTCAATCGTTTAACAGTCGATAAACATTTTATCTACAGAGTTTTGGTTCTCGAGTTTAAAAATTAGATCTGATCGATTTATACACGCAAATTTAAACATTAGCAATTGAAAAATACTAGAGTTCGTTTTTTTTTTTTTGCAAAAGTTGAAGAGCAAATTGATCAATAATTTTTCAATTTATTTTTTTAAGAGTAACAGAAGTTTCCGTCCAGATGTTACTTAGTTCTAAGTGGGCCACAACAAGAAGTTTTGGCCATGATAATGCATGCACCATTTGCGTTTCATGTTATCAAAGTGACTCCTTTTGAACATGGAAAGTAGAAGCGTGCTATTTGCTTAAAAGTTGTTTTTTTAATACTAAATGATAGTCAAAATGAATTATTTTCTATGCCGTTTTCATTCACTTGATGTGGTTTACCGTTTTTCGACTATCTCATTTTTTAAAATGTAGATGGAATTATGTGAGATTAGATTTCTTTAGAATAAATTGATTTATGTTTTTTGTGTACAATTTGTGAAAAATAACTATGTGGTTCAACTAACGTCACTATAGGTGATGTGTTACTTGCATTTTAATACTTAAGCTTTTTATTACACAATTAGAGTTGTAAATCGCGTAACGTTAGTATAGGAGAAAAGTATAAATAGATTGTAAATATAGTAAGTACTACAATAAAAAATGAACAGAGAAATATACAGACATTTGTATATTTGCACACTTAAAATGTAATTCTGCCAACAGTCAACAATCAAAACTTTTAATAGATTTTTTCAAGTACATCCTAGTGAGTAAATAAAAGTTGAATAATCACCATATCGATTCAGAATGGTAATTTTAGAACTAGTTTGTCAATTTGTTATTATTACTCATTTTATTTACAGATTTTTTTATAAAATTGCCATCTCCTTTAATAGATTTATTCAGGTGTATTTTAATTTCTATTTATGAAGTTTCGTAACGTGTTATAAACGGTTTGCGTTTCTATTATCTTCTATTACACGCAAGAATTGTATTGTATATTAATAAAAAGTTGTAGATATTCAGTTAAATAAAAAGTAAAAATTGAAAAAAATTATTAAAATTTAAATAATTTAAAAATTCTTTTAATATTTAATAGATACTTTTATAATTATATATTAATAAAAATCACTACTAAAATGTATTAATTTATATTAATACATTTATATAAAATTATATTCGTTTTAATTATTAATTTCCTGGAGTTAATATACTCCAGGAAATTAATATTGTCTTGGGATTTTAATTCACTGGTATTTATCTTAAAAATTTGTTCTGGATTTTATGTCATAATCGAGTAATATTTAACTTGTTAAGTCAATTTTATGTAAGACTAGTGAATTTCTTTCATAATTATTCATATTTCAGACTACAACTCTGAATATTAGCCTTATTTCATTTAATCTAGTCTGTTTGGTGATTATCTTTTATGGCTTAAATGTGTCATCTAAAGGTTATCTTAAATCTAACTTTCAAAAATATATTACACAGTGATATGCATGAGAAATAATAACAATGAAGCATTAAAAAAGATCATTTAATAGAAAAGATTTTCGCGTTATTTTCTGTGTATGGAATACTCAATTTTTCATACAAATTTTTTACTACACAAATCATATAAACTGTCATAATTAAAATAATAATTTAATACGAAATAAGAGTGTTATTATTCCCACGTGTAATGGTGTCACTTAAAAAGTAACGGCGAGTAAAGAAAATAAATCGGTTCTTTTTTATTTTATTAATTAGTTTGTTTAATTGAATTTTGCCGGTCATAAAATTCAAGTCGAATTCGTGCACTTTCTATAAACCTGGCTCCAGTTCAAAATAACAATGTTTTCGCGAAACGTAATTTGGTCAATAATAATATCTTAGTTGCCAATATGATTTCTATGAACACTTTTTGATATTAATATCTATAGAATTGTACGCCTTGTCAATAAATCGTCCATATCCTTGAGACCTTTGATTCTATACTTTTTATCTGATTGTATACTTAATAATATGTTCTTTCCCAATGACCGTTATGGGAATATGTTGTAGAATTTTTACACCAAACACTATTGTGTTCAATCCTAATCATAATGACGACCGGCTCGTCCTTCGTCACTATGAAAAATTATACACGACCCGTTTTCTATTCATCGTGCAAGGTCAAAGTAAAATATCAATTTGAGCTCCTAGTATTCGTTCAATGGGTGTCGTAGGTGCCACATTTAACAAGAAAGATGATTTAAAAACATATTAAAGTATAAAATGTTTACCGGTTTTGACCAACAAGTGAAATTAAACTAATGCGTGTAACGTAACACATTGTATGATAGAACTTTGTAACGAATCACGGAATGTATGTATGACAACTGGTGTAGCTACTGGTCTATTAAAGTGTAATTGGTACTTGTTAACGATTGTTAATAAATTAGTTGGGTTATAATTTATAATACACGGTGTTCAAGCCCTATACCGATAAATTACATAATGAGATTGAACGAAATGGTTATTAGTTCACTGTACGACGTTTGTATCTTGTAAAAATAGAAAAAAATATAATTATTATTTTTCTTGGCAAACACTTCAATCTCATTGTAAGTCGCTGACAATACGTTCGGCTCATAAAGAAAATAAACCAAACTCACGAATGTTTGGAAATAATACAACGTATATGTTTTTATGTTCATTTATTACTCAGTTTTCTAATTCTTTAATTGATTGTTCGATAGTTATGAAGTTTGTCCAGAAATTAATTCATGTTTTCAAGTTCGTGGGTAATCATTAAACTTGAAATAAAATTGGATTAAAATTATGCATAAAGCCTGTTAACTTTTGTAAAAAAAAAAAAATTAATGAAAAATGTTTTATTTTGTTCGATAACTTTGTTAGTTAAGGCTAAGATTGAATAATTTTATAACGTTATTATTTGTCTACGAAAAAGAATTTCTTTGTTTTTTGCTATTAGTTCTATAGGTCAACGGTCGAATTTTGTTTTTTATTTGGCCTATACTATAATTATACATGTAAACTGTATGTATATAATATATACTGTATATTAGAAAAACGCGAGAGACTTCAACGGTGGAACAGAAAATAAATTAAAATATTCCACATCACAGGTACTTACTCGGAATTAATTTGTATAATCATTTTCCACTAGAAACTCACGATATTTGATCAATCGTTTTATTGTATTTACCACGTTTAACAAGTCGCGCACACTCGTACCTAAGGCGATAGTCGGTTGTTAGACGTCGACTGCGGTTTACACACTGAATAAGTCTCATTCAAAAAGCAACGACGAATAAAAAAACCTGAACTCCTAACCATACTCTCGTCCCATGTGCACACTACACTCGTAGTACTACATTGGTGCGTACACGATACCTCATTTACTCCCACTATCATATAATTACAAATACATACGTCAGAATTACGTCACTTTGTGAGACCCAATTTCCTAAGGCGGCCACGGTCAAAAACACAGGATTCTCTGGACAATACTTAATGTATGTATCGTAGGCCTATCGTTCATAAGTAACTAAAATATTTTTATTCTTATTTAAAATTTATCACGTAAAATATAATTTGATCAATCTATTTAACGTATAGAAATAAATAACCTTAAATTACTTCGAATTATACTTATGAAGTCAATGTACAGAATTTATCACTCAACATTATCGCACACTGCTTTACCACGTTGGTTTTGTTTGTACAATATGTTGTTTAAAAAATTCCAAATTTATTGAACGTTTAAAAATGCTTTAAATTAAGACCAATACGTGAACTTTAAGTGTTATTAGTACAACGCCTTCAGTTCTTTTTAAGGTAACTTATTTGATGTATCTGACTAGACCATACGGTATGTATGGGTCTTTCTTTAATTAATAAAATGTAAGCACTGAACGTTAAATAACGTTCTATCGTAAAGTAAATTTAACGGAATATATCTATTGCAGTTTTAGCGATAAAATTATTTCAAAACGCGTGTGATTTCCTTTTATTCATTAAACAATATACTTCTATTGTATCGACACCTTTCATGAGTCCGTTTGGCTATTTTCGCATCGTCGCGTCGGTAAAGTAAGAAATAAAATCGTTAGCTGTCTCATTTACCATAATGTATTCCTTGCTGGTCACGTCTAAGTGGCCCGGGGTCGACTCCAGTTAGGACCGATAAAACATCACGCGATCTCGTTAACGGTTACGAAAAAAGTATAATCGCCTTCACAACCATCGAATTATCTTAATTATACACATCTAATTTTATCCGAATTGGCGATTTCAAAATTTTGTTTTTCCCGCATTTTGTAACGAATAACTACAGAAAAAAATACAAATAAACCTACTCATTAAAAGTGATACAATTTAATAACATTTAGCGGGTCTAAATGTAGTGAACTTCTTGTAATTTAGGTGTCATGTATACGAGAAAAATGTACAAAAATATTTATGGTTGAAGAATCACCAAATTAAAGTAATCAGATTTGTTTTACTTAGTTTGGCAGCATGATGGGCACCTACTTGTATAGCCGGTACTCGAAAGAAAACAATAGCGACAATTATTCCATGAGAGTTTAAAAACTTAGAACAATACTCGTCGATCAACACATCACGATTCCCATTCCGCTAAAAACCCTATAAATGTCGATAATATCAACTGTGCCAGGGGCGGATGTAATCCCAAAAACTTGGGTGGTCATAGCGCGGCGGTCACTCAAACGTTTATATCCACCTACTTTGCCTTCTCTTTTTCTCTTCAATTACTGTACAAATATAATACTACAACATACTTTTAATCAACTAATATATTATAAAACTCATTGTGCGCGCACCGCATACGATGTATCGTAAAGTATTGATTAACTCCACTATATTATTTGGTTGTTACTTGTGTAACGTGATTTTCTTTTATAATATAACTATAAATTACTTACACATTTCATAGGTTCCTCGACTTAAAAGTTTATATTTGTAAATAGAGAAATATGTTCAATGTACGTAAATTTACGTTTGAATTAAAACAGCAGTCTGCTAAAGGTTAGTGTTTATTGTTTAAGTATAACGACCTAGTTTATGTTGTCGAGTATTCTCTTAAGTTTTTAACAGTCATATATACTTGTTTTTTCGGACTGATGATTCTTTTATAGCATATTATTTAAGTCGTAAAATAGTGTCTGTACAGTTCTTTAGTAACATACAAAATTAATGTCTGCTGAGGCAATGTGTCAGTTCTGCTATTTATTTTTAGTTTATTTCAGGTACGAGATTGATAGTAAATATATATCCAAATATTTCTCTGCTTCAGCGTTCCACCAACTCACTTAAAAACTATAATTATTTATGGTCCTGGATCCGATGTGAAATCAAAGAAAAAAGTTTTTGATGTCCAAACTGCTAGTTGTGATTCTTTTATTTCTGTATAAACTTAAACTTGAATATATAACACATTTGCACATAGGTCAACTCTTTGTTGTCTGCCAAATATCATCACTATCCTACTACTGACCGTTAAGTATTGATAAGTTATTATTTACTTGTTTGTATTTTTTGCGAGTCTGAAAATAAGTGTTGTTCACTGATTTACGATTAAATAAAAAATGTACCGAAGAAAAAAGTTTTGTCAAATAAAGTATGGATTGAAACAGGTTTCGTGTTAAAACAGCAGTATAAATATTTTGAATTTGTTAGTTTTTAAGGCGTACGTTTGACATCAATAGCTTCATAAATACACGTTGACGGAGAATACCTGCTCTGAAATTTATTGACAGTTTCTCGATTATCTTCTCCAGATTTTACTGGGAAATTTGATTGAATTTTCGTGTCCAAAGAGTGTGGTCAACATAAATTATTAACTTTTAAGTTGTATAAATCAATTAAAATAGCGATTCAAATATCATGTGTTGTCCTTATTCGTTAGAAATGAACAGCGATGCGTTTAAAACAAGTATCGTATAATCATTTATTTATTTTAATATGATCTTTTAAATAGGTATTTATAAGATACCATAACACTTGTTTTAAATGTATAACCTAACAACGAATTATTTAACAATACCTAGTACATACAACACTGTCTGTGAACAGCCATTAGATTCTTTGTCGGTACTTGTTAACCTGCAGGGTCCTTCTAAATTTACTAAGTTACAGCTGCTTCTTCAATGTTCTTATGGGTTAGGTCCTGTTTATGGACACTTTACTGACTTTACCAGTGATTGTTTAAATAAGATAACGCCTTAAAAGAATCTGATAATCTTTATAAGAGTTTTGTCACGATTTCCGCTTTTGATATACAATCTTGTTCTCATGAAATTTAACGGAGGTGAATATTTTTTTTGAACAACTAACTTAAGACTTTAGTGTTATTAGAAATGCATCAATACTGTATGTTAATTAATCGGACCCCATTTTTAGTAGTAAATTCATAAAAACTGCATTAGTTATAATAATAGATGATGACAAAAATCAGACGATATTCGTTTCGATTCGAATAAAACTAAACTGTTACATCGAATAATAAATCTATTAGGTCTAATTAGTCTAGATCAATTACGTGAAACGGCTAACTTTTTGATTTTGACGATTGAATTCTTTTTAGAAAATCTGTTTACAATTCGCTTTGTATATTGTAATTTTAAACTCATTAACTTGAAGATTAGTTACAGTAAACCATAACGGCACAAATTGCGACCAGTCACAATAACGGTAATGGACTCATACCAAATATCTACGATTTTTCATAATGATTTTTTTAGATGAATAATGATATTTTATGAAACTTACATAAAATTTTGTTTATTTTGTCGTAAAAATGAACAATTAAAAGAAAAAAAGAGGGATTTATGTCAAATGTAAAATGTTTAATTTAATTAAAATCAATTAAAAAAAAGTACAAGATTCTTTATTATTTAAATATATAAGTATTTTTAATATCAAATAATCAAGATTTTAGTAAAAACTGAGAAACTTAGTTAATAGTAAAATCATAGTTTTGTAGGTTATAATAATATTTTTAAATCTTTTAAAATTTACTATTTACTATTTAGCCATAACTCTAAAAAAATATATACATTTTTCTTAAAATGTAAAATTTTGAGAAAAAAAAGCTAATTTCTACTTTATTATCAAAAACTATGAAATTGTGTGCGTTACAACATTAGTCGAATAGAATTATTTTTAATAATTGTTAGTGTATAAAAATACCTACTGGTATTCTGAGCGTACTGTTTCAATCACTTAAATGTTTTAGTAAAAAGTTTAGATTACTATAATAGGACATATTGCTAAGTATTAAGTTAGCATCCTATATTTGGATTAGTTAAATGGATTCATTAACTACTTTATGTCTATTAGAGTGTTTTCAAAGTGAGATAAAAATACGATTATAGCGTACATTATGAACCAACATGTCGTTCATCCCTATAATTATTGTAAATACTAATGCTATGGAGGAAATTATAATATTTATTGTATACTGATAGATTTATTTGCAAACACGTGACTAGTGAATATCAAATTAAGTATATTATCGACTAGTTATACTTGAAAAGTTGTTTTATGAAGTATTATTTATGTTATACGTAGTATATACTTTATCTTCTTATACTTACTTTTATAAAAACAATTACATAATTTAATCATATTATTTATATCAGATTTATACGCGTAGTAGAAAATGAGTGTATAGGTGCACGTGAACTATTACATCATTAGATAAAAAATATGCAATATGTGAAGTATTTATAGTGTAGGCCTGACTTCTTGAGCTAGGTCTGACATAATAAGAAGCCTTCACTCAATTTGAAAATCTCTTTTTATTTTTTATTTGCTTGACCCCTAAGAAAAAAGGATTTATCAATTTATCTTTAAATTGAGTCATCTTTATTTCATTAACAAGAATAAATATTTTGTTAATTTTTCTAATTTTACAGAATATAATTTAAAAGTAAAATAAATTACAAGTTTTGAATTATTTCATTTTGAAGCTGTTAATTTTTAATAAATGTATAACGTGTATGTAATGTTAAGTTATTTAATTTGTGTATTGTTGTTAGCCACGTTTTTAATAAGTACATAAATTTAAATGATTATATAAGATAATAACATATCCGTCCAAAATCGGTTATTGTTCAACCAAATTATTTCATTATTAATAATCTCCTTTTTAAACCTCTAAAACGTAAGAAAATAGTATTTTATGTTATTATAACATAATTCAATAAAATTTAATTTTAGGTTATTTTTTTTAAGAGAAAATATGGTAATTCTTTAATTAACATTTTAACAAGTTCATGCTTGAATTACGTATTACAAATTTTCTAATACAGATTTTTTAATGTATAATGCTAAAATTTACCTGCCTGTTTTTTTCGATGTTTCAAAATGTAAATATTATCTAAAAAGTTATTTCCATCTTATTAAAAATCCATTAAATAATTGGAAAAATTAAAACAAACATAAATAATTATCAGATTAGAGATGTCATTGCTAATAATGTTAAAATTTTATAAGAAATGTGCTGTTAAGTTTGAAAATATCAACAGCTCAATTTTTACACTCCAAGTATTGAGGTAGTTTTTTAATTAAAATATTATTTAAATTTGATTAGTATTTATTATAATATTTATAAAATTCATACTAAGTTTCTTTTTGGCTCTAAAATGTAGTAATATTTAAACGTTAAACAAAAATAATTCAATATTGTTTTAATATTAAAATTTTTAAACCTAAAAATCGCATTACGTTAAAATGTTGAATAACGTTAAATTCTTATAAATGAATTATTACGTTATAATATATTTAAATTGTAAACGAAAAATTTTTTTTTAGTTGGAATTTAGATTTTAAACTTTATATAATGAAAATTTAAAACATCTATGAAATACCAATTTTTCACAATTTCATGAAATTTTTCATCATTAATTACTATATTTCAAAATTAAAACTTTCTTTTGAAATATTCCACATGATATATTTCAGATTTTATTTAATACACATGATAAGATTAATCCTAATTTATTTGTTATATCAAATATTTATATAATATTTTTTAATGTATAGATTAAATTAAATTTGCGTATGACCTATACAACGTAAATCGTTATCTAAAGAAAAATTATGAAAAAATAAGAAATTGGTATTATAGCTAAATATCATATTATAATATAAATTAATTAATATATATTGTATTCTATGTATTACAATAACTTTTTTCTGTGCCTGTAAAAAAAAAAGTAACTAATTATAATAGGAATTATATGGAAACAGTTAGTTGTCATGGATTATAAATAATTTAGGGCTATATTTAAATAATTTGATAATTTGAACTTAATTTTAATCAGAAATTATTCGTTTAGAATAAAATAGAGTTTATATAACAATTTTTGATATATATGAACAGTTGAGTAACTTAAATTTTTAAAATGATTCAAAAGTGTAACCGAAAACTCAATTTTTGTTTAGATATAAATAGAATAAGTTAATTTTTTTTTTCTTAAAATTAGTGTTTATCAGTAAATTATGTATAGCGGTTTCTGGGACAAATAATGACGTCACAAGGCGAGATAACATTGACCAGTTCCTTTCATCAATTGCATCCTAACATTTTCATGTCGTCCTCATTTTTAGAGTTTAATTAATACAATTTTGTCATAAGATGGTCATGACGTCAAAATCTTATTTTGTTCAATGAGGTTTGTGTGTACGTTATCGTGTGGTTTTTACTACTGTTAGCCCTATTGCGTATGTTGTAGCGATCTCTGTAGTAAAATATTGCTATTTGGAGTGAAAAAAAATAATTTTCCAGATGCCTACGTACTACTTAGTACCCAACCCAAACTAACCTAACCCTTGCACGTGTGAAAAGTACGTGTCGGGTCTGTGGGTTTGGTGTACCGCACCCCTATGCCCTGATGCCCATTTCTTACCTATCTAACCGTCTAAGTTCCGCCACAAAACGATTGAGTGTTTATAAACCTGGTAATGTTTGATGACGTCGCCGGTGTTTTGAATGTTAAAAATCGCTTAATTACTGTTTAATATACACGTCTGACAGTATGTGACAAAATTTTCTTAATTAAACTTCATAAATGATAACGTCATGACAGTTTTAGGATAAAATTGACGACGTCATGTCTCTTNAACAGTTTTAGAATAAAATTGACGACGTCATGTCTCTTAGGACACAAATAAAGACGTCATCGCTCTTGTGACGTCATTATCTGTCCCGAAACTCGCCATACATAATCTACTCCTATCGTAAAAGTGATTTAAGAGAGATGATTTAATTACTAAGTTCAAATAAATTTTTAAGCCCAAATGTTTAGAAAAATAATTATTAATACTATAAAACATTATATTTTAGCAACACATATTCCTATGCTAAATAATTATTTCGAACTGTTCTGAAATTACTAATCCAAAGCGGAAGTATAAATTCTAAATATTTTCATTTATATTAACTTTGAAATGTAGAGATTTTAATCATTTTCATACTATACTTTTACATATACTCTTACAGTTTATACTATACCAACTCCAGAAATTATTTGAATTTCCATTGGAATAACGCTTTAAATATATGTAAAGGACAAAAGTATAAATTTCCAAAAGAAACTTAAATTTTTTACTTGAGTGGTTTATCTACGGAGGCGATGATATTTACATTTTCTTATGTAATTAAAATCTTTCTTGTTCCAAGATCTTTATTTTTCGGCCACTTACATTTTCAATTAAATATTTTGAAATATTCTAACTATAAAGTTAGTTTAATCAAAAACATAATCTTTTTTAAAAACAAAAAAATAAACAAACATTTATAAATGCAAAAAAATAGTTTAATCGAATAATTAAATGTAATAATACATTACAGTAAATTGATTATTCATAACTGATACAGAGCTAACAATATTTATAATTTTTCAAAATTGTAGATTTTTTTAAAAATGTTAAGAATTAGTTTCTCAATTTTCAGATTCCATTTTTAAGTTAGACAAATAATTGCTGTATCCTGAAATCATAAAAATTATTTCATTTTAGTGAAGTAATTAAAATCTTCTTATTTATATTTATTTATTGATTCCTAATTATCACCAAATCAAATAAAAATAAATTATTACAAATAAAATAAGATAAATAAATAATCATCAAATAAATTGAATTGTGTATTTAAATTATATGATTTTTATTAGTAAATTAATTAACGAAGGAACTGATTAAATTTATTTATTTGTCAAAAAATCTCAATGGACATTTTGAATTTAACTATTAAGTGAGTGTGAGATAAGTGCGTCTGCTACATATTTGGAAATGATAACATTTATAATTATTCATTAGAAGAAATTTCATCGAAGCGTAATGCTATTTTATTTATTTCATTTTTTCAAATATCTACGTTTGTAGTCCTGTTAAAAAGAGAGCTATTAAGTGTCGCTTGCCGTTGTCTGTAATGGCTCGCTTGTAAAAATTTGATGACAATTGATACATGGTCAAAGACTGATTTTTTTATGCAATTAATTTCAATTAAACGATTAAATACGCTTACTATTTTCTATATTTTAATATTTTAACACTTAAATATATGAAGTAATATTGTAAATAATTTATTTTAATGCCACTTCACACTTGTCTCATTATATATGTATACTGGAGTAAGTGTGTAAATCTTATTTATTAAGAATATCATGACTTGGATTATTTGAGAATTCATCGTTTATTTTTTGTCTAATGACATAACCAATAAAACTTGTCAATAAATCAGCTAAATATGAACTTTGAATAAACTTTGAATGACGTTAAAAAATCTGTAACTTTTAAATTAATTGTATAATTTATTTTTTATTTATTTATGTTATATCATGTCACTTTGTAGAATAGCTCACTTCCTTAAATAACTAAACAAATATTTAATAACATTGTTTAATTTTCAGAATTATTGGGGCAAGTGTGACACTATTTTTTTAATTTTAATAAGCATTAGAAAGTTGAATTTTAATTTATTTGATTATTTTATTATAGATCCTGCTGATATTCCGGTAGATATTACATTATATTGATAATTATTTATAAGAATTTAATTGAAATGTATAAATGAAAAACTTGTTAAAGTTAAAGTTTTTGTTAATAAAATAATATTGAAATAAAAACAACAATAACCTGTCTTTTAATTAGTGACATCTTTCTGAAGTGTATTGATTAGTCTGTAATATTTACACTGTATTTGTATTACTAACAAATCATTATAAGTATCTCTTCATTTAAATGTTATTAAAATCTTTAATTAAGGGTTGAAAACATGTTTTCAATATATTAAGTACTTAATGTATTCTATTGGTTTTGTTATTTTAATTCGATGAAATTAATGTAATAATTTTGTAAAATGTAAAATTTTTAGTAGAGATGATCAAGTATATTAATTGTAAAGCGATGTTTTTGAAAATTAATGAACGTTTTGTCTTACCCGGTGAAAAATTATATGGTTTGTAGTTGTCTTCAAAGTAGTCACTCAAGTAGTCTAATGGTAGACTTCTTTTTCCCCACGAACCTATAAAAAATCACATAATTTTAATTTAATTATATTTATTTACTAATTTTCAAGAGAGAGGTGATAATATTTTAGACTTAAATATCAACATATTGTCAATTTTACCATTTAAAAAAACTTTTTTCCTTTTTTTAATAGACAGTTCAAGGGGAAAACATGCGCTTCTAGTGCTCTCACTCTGGACTTGTCACTAAATTATATATTAAATCTGCTGAATTATTAACTAGGAAATAATAGTTCAAGGAAGTAAAGATATCTCTATTTGTATCTTATAAATAATTGAATTTTTATTAATTGAGAAGTATAATTGTAAGTGTTCAATTAATACAATTATATTTTAAATATTTTTTAATGATACAAATATTTAAATATTGTTCATCAGTTTTACTTAGAAAAACATTTTTTTAGCGAATGTAAGTTAAATTTGTAGACCTAAGGTCTTAATACTGTTAAATTAAATAATTAATAAATAAATTATTTAATATCGTAATAATTACAATTTGTGTTTAATTTATACAAATGGATCGAACGAGTATAGGAAAACTAATCAATAAGGATTGTTGATCTAATTATAAATCGTATTTAAAATTGTTAATACCCGAATTTCAATTAGTCAAGACCCTCAATGGAATATTTATTTGCAATGTAAATTTATAGGGTATAGTGATAAAATCCCTTCAATCCATTTCTGTTGATTTAAATGATTTCATCATGTTCATTTAATAGTAATAACTGGAAGGATTATTATTTAAGCTATGTTATTCACGTTTACTGAAATGCGCAGGGCCATATATTTTAGAGTTATCCGGAGTTAATTAGTGTGTTAATAAATACTCTGGTATTTTTCCTCTTTTTAAATTTGAAACATACCACTTACAAACAAAAGTATATAGGAGTATATGTCTTAGGACGGTCTACAAGTAAAGAAATTCTGTTCATTAAGTTTTGCATTATGTACAATTTATTAAGTCAAATTCCATCCACAAATTCACAATATATATATTTTTTGGTACACAAATCTCCATAAACCATTATAAAAAATGTACCAAAACATTTATCCTAAGAAAGAAATCGCGAGAAATTACTAATAACATCAATCATTCAACACTCTCCGCAACTTCAATGAGTATTTTTCTACTTTTATATATGAATGTAATAGTCTGATCTAATAGTACGAAAGTCTATCTCTATGAATCACTCTATCAATTAGAAGCCAAAATTGAATGTATCCTTGGCGTCAAGAGCGATTGCTTAACACAGGTCCATTTTTCGTGTTGATCATCAGCTGATCCATTATCAATGTTCATTACTGTCTTAATAGCATCGACTGTCAAACAATCACACCGGAAATTGTATATCACTTTGTTCACAGCTTCTATCCAAAAAATCGCATAGCCTTTCCAAAATGAGTCTTTCAAAGAACACATCAACTACGATTAGCAGTGTTAAAGCTCAAAGGATCTACTGCCTTAATTTTATGAATTAATACTAACTGAGATATCTTTTATCTAACCAGCAAAACCTCATTCTTTAAGCGTTAATTATAGATACTTAGTAAGATAAATGTCCTTATTATCACTAAATATGTAAAATGTAGCGAATATATTTATCTGTTGGTATGCCCACAGATACACAAGCTAACTTTTCCACCGTGATTTTTATTTTGAGATCTTGGAGGCTCAGAGAATTATGAGTGTCATTAATTGCATATTATGATATCCTAGGCAATATCTAAAAAGGTTTCCTTGCTAAAGTTGTTTTTTGTCCAGCAAATGGGGATGATTATTTCTTTAATTTTTTGAGAATCACTCTATTTAAAAAGCTTAAGAATCACTAACAAAAGTTTCCTTTTAGAGCTTCCTCAAAACGTGCATACATCTCTATGTAACTGTTATGTTTTAATTCATAACTATTTTTCTCATAGGGTTGACATAAAATTACTACTGTTATAATTATAACTACAATGGTACAGTTAGGCTTTTGTTCTGAGAAGGTGTGCATAAGAAAAGCTTTTTCTCTAGTACCTTAAATAAAAAAAAAATAGCATCTTCACACTGTAATCATTTTGGCTCGGTTTTTATTTTTTATTTTATGGATACTTAATGCATAATAATGACATGAATCTAAAAATACATTTTCAATTCATACTAAACCTTATTAAAATCAATTTATCAACTTTTTAATCTAACCGTATAATTTAAAAAAATTATATGCTTTTGTTAAAATAACTAATTTTCTTAAGTATTGGTATTAGTTGGATACCGGTTAATAATTTTAAATAAAAAAAATGTTTTATTGAATTAAAAAAGAAAAAAAGTGAACGACTATTTGATTTCTTTTATGCATTTTAATAAACTTTTACTTGAAAAATTTTATTAATTAATAACTTAAATAAATTTTTACTTTATAAAATATATAGCACTTAAATGTTATAATATAATTTATTCATTTTTTAAATTAAATGCTTTTTAAAAATCTTATCTCAAAACATCTAAATTTTTTTGTTGTAAAAATAAATGTTCAACCTTTATAATTTAGTGTAGCTCTTAGATTTTATTTTTATGTCTAAGATATTTCTTTATTGTACAAAAATGGTTGATTAGATTACTTTTAATCCTTTGAGGATAAGAAAAATAATTTTAAAAAGTAAATAACGTTAAGGTAAGACATCAAACGAATTAAAGTTTTTCCAATCCATATTATTTCTAATTACTCTTGTTTCGTAGTTTTCCTCACACAAACACATAATTAGTATGAACAGCGGGAAATCCATTAATCTATTTGTTTGAAAGTTTTATAAGAATAATAAGTTTAGAGTATTATAATTATTTATTGATAATGTTTGTTGAATACACATTTTTAACTTTCTTTAACTATTATTTTTAATCAAATTTGATAACATGTTAAAAGTTATGTATGAATATATACTATACTTTTGCACATACGTAGTATAATTTTAACAAAGTATCAAAAATTCGTACTCAAATATAATATTTTAATCACTATTAATAAGTAATGGGAAAGTTCTTCTTAAAAGAGAACTGAATTCAATTTCCTTAATTAAAATATGAACTAATTCAAATTTAAATTCATCACAGTAAACTTTTCTTTTAAAATTAATGACATAACTAAAATAATGAAAAAACATTTTCTAAAATCAAATATATAATTTTGCTTCAAACTCGTGGTTTAAAAAATTCATTTATAAAGAAATGCATTCATATTCTATTTCGTATTTTTCAAAAATAATGTATTCGTCTTTACTCATACTAAAATAAAATGCACTCATGATTGTATTTCTTAATTATTTTTTTATAAAAACGATATTGAGATTAAAAAGAATTAGCGTATTTTGGGGCTCCAAATATCTAGGAAATCTATACATGATAAATAAAAAAAAATATATGCAGAGAATGAATTAAAAAAAAGTATGTAAGCTTAAAATGTACGTAATACACATACCTTTATATAGCAATAAATGTTTAAAAAAAATTTTAGTTTAATTTTTATTTTATGAATAATGAAAAGTTTTAGAAATCATCTCATAGGTTTTTCGGGGGATGAAAATAATGTATAATATAGATAATAATATATAATTTTTATAAAAATTGAAAATGATTTATTTTTATAATTATTCGAGGAATGCATTTTTGCATTTTATTTTAATTTACATTCTTATATAAAATTAATTAATTAGGTGTGAGTGGTCGCCTTTGCGCTGATATGACAGAAATATATTCATATATAATACCATTTAAAATTTATTTCTTAAAAAAATATGTATATAATATATTATAATTATATCTAATATACCAGTACGAAATTAAATTATGTATAATGTACATGATTTTAGCTTCGATGCGAAGCTGAGAAGGTATTGGTTTTACTATGATGTGTTTTTTTTTGTGTCTGTTACCACTTTTTCTCAGCTCTCACCGAACGGATTTCTTTCAACGATACGTCAAAAGATCACAAATCGTATCTAGTCGAAGACATTACCCTTAAAAATTGAAAAAAATTCCCTCGTTCCCCGTAAAAGGGGGAAACTTCCAAAAAAATTACAAATTTAAAAATCGCTAATTTTCGAAATTTTTTCAATTTTTTTTACTAAAAACTGCCGTAACTTTTTCAAAAATGAACATATCAATATAATTTTTTTTTATATAGATGCTTGATGTCTTTACCTATCATTTGGTATATTTTTTTTGTAAATTTGACCTTTTTTCTGCCCACAGGGGGGGATTTAAAATGACAACTTTTTCACAAAAAATTAACTTTTTCAACTTAACTTTTGAAAATGTTCCGGAAGGTCTGACACTTTTATATATATCTTAAATTAAAGCTTATGTAATATACTTTAATTTGAAAAAAAAAAATTTGACCTCTGGACTTGTCTTCGTGGTGAAAGTTGACATCAAAGTTAATAAAAAATTACGATTTTTGTAAAATAATTTTTTTTTATATTTTTAACTTAATAATGCTCTAACTTTTTCAAAAATGAACATATTAATATAATTTTTTTTTATATAGATGCTTGATGTCTTTAATTATCATTTGGTATATTTTTTTTGTAAATCTGACACTTAACCTGCCCACAGGGGGGGATTTAAAATGACAACTTTTTCACAAAAAATTTACTTTTTCAACATAACTTTTGAAAATGTTCCGGAAGGTCTGACACTTTTATATATATCTTAAATTAAAGCTAATGTAATATACTTTAATTTGAAAAAAAAAAATTTGACCTCTGGACTTGTCTTCACGGCGAAAATGGCTACCGAATGCTATTTTCGTGTGAAAATTCTCGATTTTATTATTTATATTATATTTAACTTTATAATGCTATAACTTATTGAAAAGTGTATGGATCCACACAATTTTTTTATGAGAAATAATATTTTTTAATAAACCCTTTTTCATTCGACATACTTTGTCTTAATAGAGATATTAATAAGGAATCAGCAGATCATGAAGCTTTTGGAATAAAACACCAATTTTTTTAAAATTAAACACTATCTAAAGATTTGCATCGAAGCGTTTATTTTTGATAGTGATTTTAATCACTGTCAGATATCATTATACTTGATCCAACTATACCACGGCACCACTATGCCCCGACCCCCCTGTGCTGGGTTTTTTTGATAGAAAATCACTTAAGTATAGTGATACTAAAATACTGTACTAAATTTACTAAATTAAAATATAGTAAATAAAAAGAATTTCTTTTAGTTAAGTTGTTTAGGATTTAATCTATTAATTATACTAAATATTTTTTATTTACATTTAATATTTTTAAATTTAACTGTATGTGTTACTTTCTACATTTTTTCAAGAGAGTAAAGCTTAAAATTAAAAATTTCAATAATGTCTTTTACCAATTTATATTTTTCAAATATAAAAACAAATCTGCCCGCTAAAATTTAGATTCGGATTCATAATTTGTTGTATCATAACAGATAATACCCTCTTCTAATCAAAATCTATTTTATCTTTATAGAAAACTAATCTTTATTTTATAGAAACCCACTTTTGTAACTTATCATCTTATGAATATGATCCACAGAAGTATAACCATCAAAAATATTATTCAGCAAAATGTTCTAAAAAAATCAAGGTCAAAATATAAAAAGATTCCAAATTGATATTTTTATTGTTATATGGGTGTAGTGTGCTAAAATGGCTCGCTTAGTCGCTGCATAAGCGCTGATGCTCAGCTGAGCTGTTTGTTGTGGATTCCCGGATGGGTGAACATACAAGAGTTTTAACAGTACGCACTCCTTACCACCATATGGACTTATCAGCTATAATGAGTTTGTATCAGGATGACAGCCGGTGTAAAATTATATGAAATCTTTAAAGCAAAGCTCATCTCAAATAATTGTAATAGAAGCTATACAAGATAATCGGTTTATTATAAACCACTTGATTCCTCTCAAAATAAATAAAATATTATAAAAAAAATGTTAGTTTTAGCTTCGATGCGAAGCTGTTGGTTTTACTAAGATGTTTTTTTTTTTATTTATTTATTATTTTTTTTTGTGTCTGTTACCACTTTTTCTCAGCTCTCACCGAACCGATTTCTTGCAATGATACGTCAAAAGATCACAAATCGTATCTAGTCGAAGACATTACCCTCAAAAATTGAAAAAAATTCCCTCGTTCCCCGTAAATGGAGGAAACCTCTAAAAAAATTACAAATTTAAAAATTGCTAATTTTCGAAATTTTTTCAATTTTTTTTACTTAAAATTGCTATAACTTTTTTAAAAATAACCAAATTAATATAATTTTTTTTTTATATAAATGCATGATATCATTACCCTTTATTTGGTATATTTTTTTTTTATATTTGACCCTTTACCTGCAGGGGGGATTTAAAATGACAACTTTTTCACAAAAAATTAATTTTTTCAACTTGACTTTTGAAAATGTTCCGGAAAGTCTGACACTTATATATATATATTAAATTAAAGCTAATGTAATATACTTTATCATGAAAAAAAAAAAAATTTCGGACTTTATTTTATCTTCATGTTTATATTTTTAACTTTATAATTCTATGACATATTGAAAAGTGTATCGATCAACATAATTTTTTTATGAGAAATAATATTTTTTAATAATCCCTTTTTCATTCGACATATTTTATTTTAATCAGCATATTAATAAGAAACTAGCAGATCATGTAGCTTTTGTAATAATCCACCAATTTTTTAAAATTAAACACTATCTAAAGATTTGCATCGAAGCGTTTTTTTTTTATAGTGATTTTAATCAATGTCAGATATCATTATACTTGATCCATCTATACACGTCACCACTGTGCCTCGACCCCCCTGTGTTGGGTTTTTTTTAGTTACTTATATTTATGATTTATTAGCTATTAATTATTTTTTAGGATTATCCCATATAAGTATAGGGGTGTCAACTTTATTTTTTTAAATGGTAACATACATATTTAACTAGCTTATAAAGTAGAAAATAATCTTATTAAGAAAATGATTGGTTGACAACAATTTTTGGACCAGGACTTTAGATATTGTTCTCATTTTTATACATAAGTGGAACGAAAAGTACGGCCGGGAAATGACTAGTGATGAAAATAGCAACACCTACTCTTCATTTCTTGTCATTACTTTAAATTATTAATAACTTCTGAAATATTGGTCCAAAAAATGTTATTGACCAGTCATTATTTAAATTAGATTAAGTCTTTTATTTCATAAGTCAATATGCAATATATGTAACTAAAGGAAATAAAAAATAAATTCAAATAGTAGAAGCCAAACAAATGTACTTTGTAATGAATAGAACAAAAATTTTCATATTCTTATAAAAAAAGAATTAAGTTTATGTTCAAGTTTATATTAACGAGTTTACGTGAACGTGTTTTTTCTCTTTATTGTTATTTATTAATGTTCTCCTTACATTGTACGTGTAAAAACTTTTTGTATATTTATGTAAAAATTCAGATATTTTTTTTTAAGAGTGTATATAACCGATGTATCTTAGGTTAGTTTTTGTATTTAAAAATCAAAACATAAGTATAATATAAAAAAATTGGCTTACCGTCTTACCTCTAAAGCTTGTCCAGTCAGCGGCCCGTTTACCCCAAGATCCTTGTAAATTATCCCAAGACCGTTTGTCTGCTACATTATCACCATCGTGCTTTTCTAAATATTCATCATATTGAGACCATGGAACATTAAACTAGAAAATAAAATGCGTTTCATTGAAATTTTTAACTAAGTATTTAATTAAAATGTTGATAGTCCGTATTTTAATTTAACATATAATTTTGTATTTGTATTTTGATAAAGTGATAATTTTAGATATAACTGTTATTATTTGAAAAAAAACAATTAACAGTTTTTTAGTATGTAAAGATAATTGCATTTGAAAATACCTGATCGCTGTATCTCTTCCCCCAACCGGTCGACTGCATATCCTTCCAGCTGCGTTTTCCCCATCCTCCGTGTAGCTTTTGCCAACCTTGCCGTTTTCCCCACGATGAACGTAGATTTTGCCAGTCTTGACTCCTTTTGCCCCATGTGCTTTTTAAGTTTTGCCAACCTCGTTTGCCCCAGCCCACCGTTTGTAAATCTCTCCATGCTCTTTTTTCCTCTTGATCTTCGTCAAAAGATCTTGAATAGTCTGAATTATCCTAAGGGTAAATTGTACTTATATTTAAGAATTACAAATAATGTTTTATAATAATATAATGATGTGACTCACATACTGCTTTTATCTATTTATGATGAACTTGTATAGATATTTCTAATTTAAAGGTTATGCTAGTGTCAGGGATGTATTTCTAGGGCGACTCAATGTTTTTTTCTACTACTGAGGTGTATTTTAAACTTTTTTTAGCTTCGATGCGAAGCTGAGAAGGTATTAATTTTACTATGATGTATTTTTTTCTTTTTTTTGTGTCTGTTCCACTTTTTCTCAGCTCTCACCGAACCGATTTCTTTCATGATACGTCAAAAGATCATAAATCGTATCTAGTCGAAGACATTACCCTCAAAAATTGAAAAATTTTCCCTCGTTCCCCGTAAATGGGGGAAACCTCCAAAAAATTACAAATTTAAAAACCACTAATTTTCGAACTTTTTTCAATTTTTTTACTTAAAACTGCCATAACTTTTTAAAAAATGAACATAACAATATAATTTTTTCTTTTATAGATGCTTGATGTCTTTACCTATCATTTGGTATATTTTTTTTATAAATTTAACCCTTTACCAGCCCACAGAGGGGATTCAAAATGACAATTTTTTCACAAAAAAGTAAATTTTTCAACTTAACTTTTGAAAGTGTTCCGGAAATACTGACATTTTTATATATATCTTATATTAAAACATATGTAATATACTTTAATATTAAAAAAAAAAATTTCGGACTTTATTTTGTCTTCAAGGTGAAAATAGTTACCAAATGCTATTTTTGTGTGAAAATTCACGATTTTATATGTTATATTTTTAACTTTATAATGCTATAACTTATTGAAAAGTGTATGGATCAACACAATTTTTTTATGAGAAATAATATTTTTTAATAATCCTTTTTTTATTCAGGATATTAATAAGGAAATAGCAGATCATGTAGCTTTTGGAATAAACCACCACTTTTTTAAAATTAAACACTATCTAAAGATTTGCATCGAAGCGTTTTTTTTTATAGTGATTTTAATCACTGTCAGATATCATCTATACTTGTTCCAACTATGCCACATCCATACTGTTGCCTTGACCCCACTGTGCTGAGTTTTTTTTATTAAGAATATTTTAGTTTATTTTCAAAACTCTAAGGATGAAATATGAAATTACTTTTAAACTTTAACATAAAAATTAAAAGATGATAATATTATTTCAAATAATGAAAACTTTAACGTATTCAGAAAGGTTAGACCGACTGAGGCACGTGCCCCGATCGAACAGATAAGAATTTTTCTGCATAAGGCACCCTCTTGCTTATAACTAAAATGTATATTAACTTAAAAAGTGTTATTACAAAACTGGTAATCGACACAGTTTTAGATCAAAGTTTTATTTTAAAAAAATTAATAATTTAGTAAACAAATAATAAAGATTGCCTTTTAACTTTCGAAAGTTACTCTAAATTTTTTCCTTATTTCTAAGAAAAGAGATGTGATTAACTTAAATATAATAAGATTAAAAATTAAAAAGCATAAGGGTGTGCTTAAAAATATTTTTATTCCCCCCAAATTGAATCAATATTTTTAATGATATATATATACTGTCATTTATAGAGAAAGACCAAAAAAGAGATGAAGGGATGTTATTAAATGCGATATGAGGACGTTTGGTGTGAGTGTAATTGATGGGGGAGATCGTGTCAATTTAAGTTTAGGATAAAGGTGACCGACCCCATGTAATTAGAATTAAGGCGTGGAAAAGGAAGAATGAGACTGTCATTAATTTTGTTTATAAATATATATATTGATTATAACTGTATAATCTTCCCACAACAGTACTCTGTAAAAAGGACGAGCCTAAAAAACTCTCGGACCCTAGTTAAATGAGGATGAAGCCAAAATGGCACCTACTTGACGTCTAAGGTATGTAGGGAGTATCAAAATCTATACCCTGAAGTATCCTTAAACTTTTAGTCCCCCATTAATGGAGTTTGTCGTAAGGTTAACAATGCTACTTTAAAAAAGACAGTGTTATGAATCAACGAAATTGCCTTGGATGAAATATATGTAGATAAAGAACAAATTGATGAGAAACCTAGAATATAAGATTATTGTATATTGCCGGACATTCAACGTTAGCGAATTTTAGTCTTCTATCAATTACTAGCTAGAAATCCAAAAAAAGAAAAACGGGACACATTATGTAATTTAATATCGAATAATAGAATCAAAATCTATGTGAAGACTTTAATGCTGAAATAGGTCAAGAACTAGTCTTCTAACTGGCGATATGAAGTCATAGCTCTAATATTACAATAACTTTATTTTTATAAGACTAATAAACTTTACTGTAGCACGAGATAAGGTGATAAGTATCACGATTTACCCACATAAAAGTATACTCAAACAAATATAGTTACTACTAGATGAGAAAACTAGATCAGATAGACTACGTAAACTATTCTTTGAAAAATAAAATGAGATAAAAAATGGATTTAAACGTCGATCAACGATAATAAAATATAAAGATAGATCTTTTACAAATTATAACAAATAAGTAACAAGACAATTCAAATTGTGTTTTTTCAAAAATATGCTAAATATACCAATATAAATAGTAACGGAAAATAACAATATTAACATAAAGCAGTATTAAAAGAGATTAAAGTACCGGTAAAGCTTCTAAATGAAGAAAAAGCACCCTAAAAGGATTCAATAGTATCTAAACTTTTAAAGAAAGTAGGAAATCATACAATAATAAACTCAAAACAGTTGATAAATAAAATGACACACTATGTCTAATAGGATTGTACTTAAAACAAAAAATGTATGATTTTTACGTAAAAGTTGATAAGAAATTGAACATGCAATTATTTTACATAAAAGAAGTTATTATCAAAAAACTCATAAGCCAAATATTTACCCCCTTAAATTCAACAGTTCCATATATATTATGTTTACTAAAAACTATAAAAATTCATTTATTTTGGCAATTTAAATATATATGATAAACCGTTCTAGTTATAAAAAAAAATTTCATGTAAAAGTTGTTTGAAAGAATTTCTCGAGTTGTGTGTTATTTTATTCGGTGCAAAACGTTCTAATGTTGTAAAATTCCACTACTCTGGTGCTTTTCATCACGGAAGATGGATGTCTAAAGCAGTTTATTCGCTAAAAATATGTCCAGAAAACAGTTAAAGCTTAAAACATGAGAAGAACGTGCATTTCGTGATATTTTTGTTAAAATTTCATGTCGAGGTTTGGTTTAAGGGACCTATTGCTACACAAATATCATTTAATGATTTATGTTCCTTAAAATTTTTAATAAATTATCCCGATTCTTTTATATCTAAAGCTACAACACATAAATTTTCAGGGCATTTATGGTATTTAGAGTTATATCGCTATTCAACACATGATATAAAATTCTTTCGAACATAACTTTAAATAGACTAAGACTATATGCCAATGCTAACCTTTGTTAAGGATATATTTGACACTGAACAAGTAGATAACATAATAGGTTACTTATTATTATTCATTTATAATAATAGAACTATGTGATATGAGGCAATTATTGTTCATATTTGACATTCAATTTTAGTACATTAACATACTTGTCTATAGTTCAGTAATTTTATTTAAGATTATGGCGACATTTTTCAGTACTATTGAAAATACTGAAAATAACATATCCATACTTTATTGATTTTGTTGCAAATCTTTGCTTTTCATTGAATCATTAAATTGTTTTTGTTATAATTTTATTGAAATTATTATTTAAACTATTTTATTATGTATTAATATTGATTTATATTATTAATAAAATATTCTTATATGATTTATAAGAAATGCGACGGAAAAGTCCCTATGCGTCATTTTTCTAAGAATTTTCCAATCCCCCAAAAATTTAATCAAGTTCCACCTATGGAGTCTAACAGTCAACATAAATCCGAAAAAATGTCTATTGGTTTCGCTATCTCTGAACTGATTTTTGTATTTTAATAGGCTTTTTATTTTAATTTTTTGAAATAATTTATTTTCTCGGACCGAATTTTTCTACTAATTTGCAGCTGTTATTCATCCCACATTTTCAAATAAATCATCCTGAATTAAAAAATAATTGATATTAAAACAAAGAATTGCTATTTGTTTTTAATTTTACGTATTTATGTATTTTTATTTAAATGTTATAAGATCATTTTATTCTTACTGATGATAATGTGAAATTTTATACATCGTTTTATTTGAGTAATAATTACTCCGAATAATAACATCATATATTAGCTTTTAATTACTTTAAAAATCGGTCTATTTTAGTTATTTTATTACTTGGTCGTTTTGGCTAGATTTAATTGACGATTGAATCGCTGATTCTGGCAACGAAAAAACAAATAAAGGACACAAAATAACCAATGTGGCCGCTGTTCTCCCTAAGACATTCTGCATTCCGCCTTTTTCAATTATGCCCTAAAATAAAGATTAAACATTTTTAATATTTGATGTACTATTTTATTTATTACTAATAAATAGCATTTACTTAAATTAAAAAGAATTTAACATCATGTTATTATTTTATCTTGTTTAATGTTAAAGAAATTACAAATTTTCAAATAAGAATATTTATAATAACAAATTTTTCATATTTTATTCAGTATTGCTTAAAAAACTAATTGATAATATAAAATAATTATTGGGTTTTTATTGTTTTAAACTGTTTTGCTATGTACTGTTTATTAAGCGGTTAACTAAAATTATTTTATTAATAAAATTCACATTTAATAGAGTAAGTTTAATAAAAGCAAATGTTAGTTATAACAATTATGAAAAAAATATGCGTAGCTTGAGGAAATTCATTGGCTTAATAACTGTTAAGAGATAATCAACAACATATTTAAAATAGAAAAAGTAGTAATGACTATTCAAATCTGCAAATAAAAATTAGTGGTGATAGAAAAAATCTAATTGCAGATTTGAAATCAGAGCGAAAAATTGTTCAAGAAAAGTATATTTTTGACTCTAATCAAAATTCCTTGTAGACAATTTATTCATAATCAACAAATTATCGTCTGAAAAGTTTTGTATTAAGCCCTTCAATTTTTATACACGTATGCCATAAAAGTAACAACTAATTTATAATTTTTTTATAATTTCTTCATACTAAACTATTAAATATCAATTTCATACTATATTTAATTTCTATAATAAATATTTGTTCATACTTTATACTTATAAATCAAAAAACTACTAATCAGGAATAATGAAAGAAAATAGGAATAATACATAATTAAATTATTATTGTTCATTTAGTACTAAATATTATCATAATTAACTTAAGAATTTATTTGATATGAATTAAAGAAAATAATAGAATGTTAAATGCGCGTTTAGTGTTTTATGTTTTAAGAATTCGTTTTATGTCGATATGGGCGACATGGACATGTGATATTATTGCAGTTAAAGATAATGTGTGATGAACCATTATACATTATGTTATTCAAAATTTAAAACTTGTTTACATGACCTACCGAATCGTCGAACCTACCTTAGTAAAATATAAATTCAAATTAGGCCTTATTTATGAAAAGTTAATTATAACTATTGTTTTGGTAGCGTGTCACATAATGAATACGTCAAAATAAACACAATTATATTTATATGTGTTTCAAATATCTGGTTTTTCGTGTTTATTATTCGATTATTGGTAGTAATTTTTTATTTTTTGCTATTTTATACTGACTGAAAAGTTTTCTGATGAGTTTTCCTGTTTTATTAAATAATAATACTTTTATTAAATTTATAAAAATAGTATAAATATAAAAATGTTACAAAAACATAATTTATGTTTCTATATTATAATTTTTTAACTTGTCTAATAAAAGTAATTGTAAGTTATCGAATTATAATTTTAAAGTTTATTATTGTTTATTAGAAAAGTAGTTAATTTATAAGTACATAAAAACCAATTTATTTTGAAATAATCTTGAGTATTAATATTAAATTTATTAATAAAATTCTATACAAAATTTAAGCTAATTGAAATTAATAAATCATTACAAAAATGATGAATACAAAACAAATAACTTATGAATATTAAATTATATAACTTCATTTATATACTACAAAGTAGTTGTATTTTAATAGGATTTTTTTTTTATACAATTAATTATATTTATATTTGAAAACTATCAAATTTATAATTATGGTGCAATACAATTTATGGATAATACATTTGAAATACTTAAAGACCCTCAAGTTTTAAATATTTCTTTAATTATGTAAAAGTATTTTTAGTTAAATGCTTTACACTACAATGAAAACTCATTAAAAATGTACGAATATCGGCTTTCAATAATTTAAACGGTAGTGATTTTAATCACTNAATGTACGAATATCGGCTTTCAATAATTTAAACGGCTATTAAAAGAATCTATTGTTCATCTATTGTTTTATTTTCTGTGGTTGCAATAACAATAGCAAATATTTCTTATTGTAAGATGAAAATTTTCATAAGTATATTTATAAATTTAATATTAAAAATAAAAATGTATCAAATATAAATCTACAAAGTGATTTATTATCGAGAAGCAATTCTATTATTTGTGTAATGTAATATTTTATAAGTTATATTATAAGTTTATATTTAAGTTTTTTTTTTTAGATTTTGTATAACAATATTGTTAGCTATTTTCATAACTTAAAAGGATTAAAAAATAAAAATTAATCGCTTGAGGAAAATCAAAAACTACATGAAAAATATTAATTTTAAATAAAAAATATTTAATTCAGAAAGCCACAAAAAATCACTGGAAATCGTGGAGACGTGTTACTAAATAAATTTATTCAAGCTGTTTTGACATAAATTTAACATAAGATGAAAATATTACCTTTTATAGTTTATATAGTCTTTTGTTTAATTTTTCGGTTAATAGCAATTAAATCAGTTTCTAATCATGCAATGATAAAAAAATTAATTATTGAAATTCTCATAAAATCTTCTATTTAAAATTTTTATATATAAATTATTTAAAAAAAATTAGTTTTATTTTTCTTAAAATCGCCTACAAACCCATTTTTAAAATTTCATAAACTAGTTTCAACTTAACGAATTTGATTGAAATTTTGTAAAAGAAACTTGTGTAACATCACAAAAATAAATTTCATTTGAAAGAAAAAGAAATTGTTGATTTTTTATTATTTTTTAAATGTTGCTGTTCTTATAAATTAGTAAATATCTCAAAAACTAGACATTTTGGAAAAGTGTTGAAGATAAATTAGAAATCAGTGTAAATATATTGCTAAAAATGTAATAGTTTCATTAATGTTGTAAAGAAAGTTTTGTAGACTAGTGTAATTATTAAATAAAAATAGTGAAATTATTATTATTTAAACTTCCTTTTATAATTTGCTATTTAATGATTTCATAAATACTTAGGATGAAAACTATAATTGAGTGTCAAAGTAAAAAGTATTTAAGTATGTTTTGTTTCAACAAAACAATACTAAACGAGTTGTGGGAACTAACGGCTAGCAAGAAATAATAAAGGATTGAGAATAAGGTCATTCATGTGATATATTTTTAGTTTGTTTTTTCAATATACAAAAACGTCTATTTTTTATTTATCCAATAGCCACTTTTGCTATGCTAAACGGTTTGTTCTTCGGATTGAGTTGGTCCTAAGATACGTAAACAATCGCTAAAGGATTTATGACTGCATGATCGTTGTTTTATACTTGAGTTATTCTTTTATTTTTCCGCTTCGAAAAACTCATCTTTATACCGTGTAATGTATTTTCATTGTACTATGAAATGTACTGGGAGCACTTCATTTTTTTAGACTATAATCATTACCATGACATTTTACTATTTCTCTAGTTTTCGACTGACTATTGTAATAATTATACCTTAATGTATTAATAAATTAGTTGTATTATTTTCGTTTAATTTAACAATGTTTGTATTTTCATTAAGTTAAACAATAATTATTAAAAATAACTTTTCAAAGTTATACTTTAATGTAGTTAGTTCTTCAACGATAAAATAAAATAATTATTTATTATATTAATTATTATTTATAAAATTAACAGTTATGTCAAAAATAATAGTTAAAAAATCTGCTTAAAATTTTATGGTAGTTTGATTAATTTATTTGATTGAAAAACACATTCCTTTTCGAGCTAAGTAAATATTATGCTATTTCACTAAATAAATAACAAAATTAGCTAACAATGTGAACCAGGCATGTATTATTGTTGGTATGTACCTATTGTATATTTTTGCTGAAAAACTTCTACAAGACACAATATTCAGTAAAAAATTAGGTCGTTGTATGAATTTCATGGTACCCGTATCCTCGTATCTCGTATAGCCTTTCATAAATACGCTCCTGTCACATTATATACAATTAAAATTTTTTTATTGGATTTTTCATTTTCTGGTTTTTTGTAATTATGTAATATCTGCTTTAAAAAATTATTAAAATTTCTGTGTTAATTTCAATTTTAATTATGATTCTATTTGAAAAAGGTAACAAAAATTTCTTATTGTATTCATATACATAAAAATAATACTCAAAGTTTCATCTCCATTCTTTTATACTTCAAATGTGTAACTACATTGGTCAAATTTTATGAAAGAAAATAATTGTATTCCCTTAAGTCTGTCAGCTGTTATATAGAGTAGCCGAATGTATGTGACCTTTGGGTTATATTCTGTTCTAGTCCTAAACAATCTTATTATTTGTTTAGTGCGGTAAATGAAATTGTTCTTTGACTATGAGCATGGTAGTTGGTGTATTTATTTATTATACTTTTTATTATATATTTTTATATATTATATATTTTTATTATTAATTCTGTAAAATCTTAACATCTTCAAATCAAACTTTGTTTTTTAAAAATAATAAAATATTGTAACAATTTACCAATAGGTTCATTTAAATGATCAAATCTTAGTATTAATTTTTAATTCAACCTTCAAAAATATATAACCGTATTCTCTATTTTAAGCCATTAATCTACAAAAATATTTTCTGTGAAGTTACTGTAATAATATATTATTACAGATATTTTAGATTGAATTATAGTTCAATATAATATATTATTATTAAACAATAATATTATTAATATTATGTAAGTTAATGATTAATATCATTAATTTATTCATATGATATAATGAAAAGCAAGTACGTTTAAAAATATTAAAATCATATTAAGGTTTATCTGATTTGTGGTATGTAAACATAATATAATAAATATAAAAATTCTTATCAGGTGTAATGTCATTCATTATATTGATATTTGAATAAGGTAATAATAAAAAATAAAATAATGTAGTTTTGAAAATATTGTTTACTATATAAAATACGTGTTATATACAACATTTTTTTAGTAAACAGTTTAAAGGCACGTTTAGTAAACATTAAGACTATTAATTTAATATACTTTCCCTTAACTAGATTAGAACATAT